CTGTCTAGCCCAGTCAGTTGAGTCCAAAACGCAAGTCTAGCCTCTGAGATATGAATCACTATATTTCAGACATACTCTGTTTATATACCAAACAACCAGACCACATCGTACCATAAAATCGAAACAACATTTGTACAATATTTGACAAGTGAAATAAATATTAACCAATAGGAAATGTCCATTCAAAGTCCAAGGACACCATTAGACTTAACATGATAATTATTGGTATGTTCCTCTGCACCCCTAACACATGTGCTCGATGATATTTATGTGTAACACAAGGAAATAAGATTGTGAAAAAGTAGTGAAGAGAAGGTAATCGTATTGAAAAATGAACAACAGATAGATGAAAATAAGTAGATGAGGGTTGACAGTTGTCAGAAAATGAATTAAATCAAATAGGATTCTTTTATTTGAATAAGATCCTCTCACTTATATGAGTAGGAAAAGGAAACTACATTTGGGCCACTACTCCTAATTTTCTAAGTCATGTCTGATAACAATCACAGAGGCTGAACTTCACCATCTGTGGGACGTTAACCGGAGTGTCATGAGGGACCAACAGCAAACAATCCTAAACAAATTTTCATGCCACCACAAAATGTCATGGACTGACCTCATCTCAGCGTCTGTAAATAATGCACGATGTTAAGTTATGTAAAACAACATTCATAGTACACGTTCAAGACATTAAAGTCGGTATATCAAGATGGTGATGCGAATTGGACTGCTTTGCCTAAACACACATGCCATTCCCTCACGTTACTGACGTACTGTTCAAACTGTGTTCCGTCAGGAACAATAAGGATCAAACATAGAGAGTCGTCTTTAATCACTTTGAAGGTGCAAAGCATATCCCATACCAACTGACACTAATTGCCGACTAGTTACATTAGGATCAGATGAATTAAGTAGCACCACACAACAAGACATTATCATCCCATTTCTCAAGGTCGTGCAGCTTTTTCCCAGGTAACAGAGTCAGATCGTTATTATCTGCTTCCAACAGAGCTCATTACAGAACGTCATCAACGGTAAATTTGAAGAGAGTTGATGAGATAACGGAATGAGAACAACCATAGGTTCATTTTTAACACATTGGAATGATATTTAATTTCTGAAACTTTGATATAGTTCCTGTCTGTTTCACCAGCCATTGAGTACAGGATCGTCTAAATTGTATTCAGTGGTTAGGAGGTCGGGAATCCGTCCATCAATGAAATCAAATCGTTGACCAAATTTTAGTCAAACATTAATGATAAGCGTCCGATTATCCTGACAGATTGTCTCATTCAACATAATTTCTTTTATCGGTGGCTCACATAAGTTGATAGGGCCTTAAGCAGTTAAGAGATACAGCTCCTGCTTCCAACTCGTAAGCATCCTCTGACTAATAAGCGACTCAATTTGACGTGAACGTTGCACCATTTTTCAAGGTAAAAATCTACATTTATTGTCAAGCTTGCGATCAGCTGGGTTAAACCGATGCATCGCATTTAGTTCCAAGGAGACCGGCGAAACCTATTGCATATAGATGGGACTTTTCGCGAACCAATGCTGACATATGTTTTCCGATGGATCGATAGCCTCTATTGGATTATCCTAAACTGCTTAAATCCCGATAGTAATAGCAACAGACGGTAAGAATAATAAACACAATAATTCTATGTCCACCTGCTGAGTTCAAATATCGTCAACACTTTTCTAAAACGTAGAGACAAATTAACTGTTGAATAATACAAAATGCCTAAAATTAAAATGGTGTACATATTCCTATGTGAAAATTCCGTCTGTTAACTGGTGTGGTTTAGATTTTTTCTCAAATAGTTAGACAGACATTTTCTTAGAAACTGATTCCTAATGCTGTTTTTTATTCAATTTAATACTAATTATCTACTGATTGTTCCTTAACTTGATTGCAAAAACTGTCAGTTCCAATGTTCAAAAAATATTGGTGTTCAAGTGATATTTAACGAAAAGGCATTTCAGTGTCCTGTTGGTGGTGGTCCACTACATATGGAGCAACAATTGGGAAGTGGAAATGCTTTCATCGATATACAATGTCCAAAGTGCACGTCATTGTGTAAGGTTAGTCAAGTATACTAATAAAAACCAGTAAATCATGCTACTCTGATCACACAGTTTTAGATTTAAAATTTGTTTCGTGATGAGGTGAGAAATTAAATGAAGTAAGTTTGTACAGCGTAGCGTGATTAGTGGTGAAAATCTGTAGAGAGTGAATATCCATTTGAAGTGTAAGGGAATTTAACATAAACATTACCAGTTGTTCAAATGTATCTAATCAAATGATGAAACAGACTTTTAAGTGGAATTGGATGATAATCAAGAACATATAGAAAAGTGATTCTGTTTCATCTCTGACGTCAGTATGTATGTTTATTCTGTTCTACTTATATCATGTGTATTCATAGTAACGTATATGGTGTGTTGTCAGTGTATATTCGATTCAAATCGATGAATGACTTTCGACTGCATTTGATGATGATTGTGTTGGTGTAATACTTTGTTCAGTTGAACAGTCACAAAACTCATACAGTAAATTGTGTTGAGTGCTATAATTCTCACCCATACTTTAAGCATCATATATGCCTTTTCAGCAATAGAATATCAGAATATTTTTCAAAAGCATCGAAAAAACATTATCAATAAACTGGGTTTTCGTGGATACTGTAGTGATGTTAATAGTTAAAACTGTGGATGAATTTGATCCAGAACATCAGTGAAAACCTAGTGACACTGAATGGTCTTTCCTCCCTATTATCAACAGTGCGAATCCACGACCCTTCACGTAAGACTTGTATCCAGGAGCTTCAGTCTCACGTGCGAACGCTCATTTTCTTGACCACAAGGCCGGTATTCAACAGTGTTAATGTCTAACTTCAACCATTCCATTACATCGCGTGGTTATCCATCGTTGTCTTCAGTGAGTGACGGCCTCAAAAAAGAGAGACTGAAATTCAAAGACCACAGCTTCCTTCAAGAACTCCAGGAAGTTCATCTTGACGTTAGTTATTAGTGAGAACACGATAACTATCAGTATAGGGCCGTGCAGACTGTTGAGTTAAAGTCGCTGTCATGAATGGAGGAGTCCCATACTGAAACGAAACGGCCGTCCAGCATCACCAGGATTTCAGTGGTGGTCTAGCCTACATCGACTCATGAATTCAACTAATTAAAACAATACTGATCAATTGATTTAAGACCATCAACAAGTTTGCGTGTTAAACGCCTGAAAATATGACAGACCTTTAATTTACATAGGTGTTATTTAAACAACGGAACAATGGCCACATATGCGGGTGAGTTTTTACCCATCAAAATTCGGTGCAAATAACGATCAATAATGACCAAATTATCAGTAAGAGTTTGTTTGGAAATGATTAGTAGAGTTATTTCAAATTCACGTGTATAATTTGCATAATCTTTTAAAGGAAAACATAAAGCTTTATAAATTGCTGAGTAACGTGATTATAATATCAACACCGGGGCCTCTTATGAAATATAAGCAGTGTTGAGCATCATGTGTGGCCGTCACAAATGCGATAAAACTAGTGCCTTGATAGGGTTCGAGTTTGTCTTACCATATACAGTGAACGAGTGATTCACTGACGTGGATTTCTCAAGCGTGCCATCAAGACCTTCCGAATTTCATTGGCTTTATTAGATCAGACGTTGAACAAAATGAATTCAAGCAAACAAAGAGTAGATCTTGACCTATTCACAGTTTTACCAAAACTGCATTTTCTCTCTTATACTTGATTTTATTTTCAAAAACAGATGACATTGTTATTTCTCAACTTTCCTCTCAGCTTCGTCTATCTGTGCAAGTGTACTTACATTGTAGCAAACCTGTAAACAGATTAGACTGTAGACATGTTCGTTTAAACATCACTACTGAGTAACGTGTCTTAAATGAGAATAATGTTTTAAGCCTGTGAAATCGGATTTATAATCCCTTACTCCTTCAACATTCACGCGCACTATTTACACACGATATTTCAGCCAGTCAATGAAATGCATATTGAGGAGAGCGGAAATAAATATTTCGGCAGAATAATAGGAGACCACGTCTCTGACTGTGAAGCTGGGTGACACGAGATCGAATCCGCCAGGGAGCACCAGTTCCCTCAAGATTACAGGTACACCTTGCTGACGAGTGCCAAGTAGCACGAAACCCGGGTCCAGGGTTTCCTGTTGACTACCTCCAACCACCATCTAATCTCAAGACCACTTTATTTTGTTTGGTTCTCGTCAGTTGCTTACAACTTGTGATAATTAGGAGCCTTAAATGCAAAACGGATCTAAGTTACTTACGTCAGAGTAATAAGTTTGACGTATTTCTGAAGACAAACTAGCATGTTATAGCGAGCGTGGTAGCCCATCTCACAGGGCTTGTAGAAACTTTCGGATGAGAAAGACCAAATATTTCACTAGACACATTTTGCACTGTGAAATTAGGCGGGACTATAATTTATAGACGAACCAATCTGGTATAGGATAACGGGTGTCGGACTTTGGCGCGAAATTCATTCATCCATTTGGCTAAATAAAATCTTGGCATTATAGCGGATGTCAGTTCGTGATAAAATCCATAAATCTAATTGCTAACGCTCACCGTCAACCGTAAATCACAATTCTAATTCCCCACGCTGGTTTATCACCCTCATTTAATTCTAGTTATTGGGTGGACATCCTCAAGGTCACTTGAGAGTCACTCAGAAGTAGTCCATAAATCATAGTCTCACCTGAAAGTGTCAATCATTTTCCTAGATGAGGTTACTTAAGTAGGGATTCATGAACCACACAGTGTATTACATACATATTTCTATTTTGCATGGTTCATGTCAAAATATTTCAGTCAGTAGTTATTTAGCGACAGTTCGATAACCGAGTTTATTCATGTTTGAAGTGTTTACATTTGTATTGCTGAGAAATAATCACCTACGCAACTATCTATGCTCGGTTGTTTTATTTTTCAGGAATATTGTCCAAAGTGAAAGAAAACTGCGTGGAACAACATTCTTCCAGTTGTTTTTGAGAGAGAAACCCATTAATGGATTTGATTAATGAACACTGTTTGGAGGTATCTGTATTTTGAACACTAAATGATAGCCCACCTTAACTTGACATAAACTCAGTATGTGTAACTTAACCACGTTAAAACATGTATCGCTTGATCAATCTATCATATTTTGGTGTTTATTTTGATGGTTCTTTTTATGGTAAATTCAATGAGTGTTAAATGTTAAAACAATAATTAGAGTAGATATGTTCAACATTTTAACTTTTGTCATTGTGGGTTATTTTCAGAATTAGGTTTGTAATGTAGACGATCAATTCTTGCATAACACATTTCCAAAGTATGTTATTCAACAAAAAACATTTCTGAAGTGTATTTATTTGTCAGTGTCTATAATCTGTCTTGAATCACAGGTTTCTTCCATTAGTCCAACTTCATCTCCTAATGTTTTCGTTCTATTGCACACCAGACGGATTTTCATGTATTCACACCAAAATGTTTCAGAGATTAGACAAAGAACAAAATCTTCAGTTTATATATTTTCACTATCCTGTATTACACACTTAGTTCAATTCAGTAGTGTGAAGGTAAATTCAGTAAGCACACAAAATTAGAACTTCGCATATACGTTTAAACTGGGGCTTACTACAGATGTACTTCCTACTTTTAACATAAGTTTTTCTTGATGAGGTCCAATTCGAGACAAACTAACATGCAAATTTTTTGTCTATATAATGTAAGAATAAGATATTTGTGGAGTTCACTTTGTTTAAAGTCCAAACGATTAACAGACATTGGATGAGGATCGTATGAAAATCAACTCTCCATAGTTCATTTATTCTGAATAGTTACCTAAAGGGTTCATTAAAAAGTTCACCTGATTCCGTTTGAAAATCCATGTAAATTGATCAACATTGACCTGGATATCATTTAACGATTGTACCGTTTGATAATTGCTGAGTATCTACAATGTTCCATTTGTAGAAAAAATATCTAAAATCTCTCTGTTATGCTACCATTTAACGTTGGCTCATCTACCAACGGGGAATGAAGTGTATGGTTTCTACGTGACTGAATAAGTAGTAATTTCACACATAATGAGTTTATTTGTACTGACTTATTATTTTTGGAAAGTATGATAAATATTATAATAAGATTTTACGAAATTAACAAGTTTAGCCGATTTCCATAAAAATTTCAGTAGGAAGTCTCCACCATGCAATTAACCTATGATAGACATAAACGACCGGAAAAGCATTTCAAAAAATAAGTTTAGACTTCAATTCTAATGAATGCGTCTTTCAACGAGGTACATGAAGAAAATCTAGTCTCACTGAAAAGCCTATTGCTGAAGTAGCCACAAAAGTTGACTATGTCAAAAGGCGGAATCCATACTTTACTTTCAACATACATATACGATAGCGTAACAGAGTGATTTAAGTGAGATAATGGTAGACATCTATGAATTTTTTCTTTGAATATCTAGTTGACAGTGGCGTACTACGTATTTTAACTTAAATCCTTACCACATTTTTGTTAAAATAATGTTCCGTTTTTAAATAATGAGCAATTGAACTTGTTGAGTTTATAGCAACTAATGCGCAGTTGAGTTTGTTCGCATTTCATTCGGTTAAGTGATCCTGTTAACTTATTAACAAACTGAGTCATCCATACAACAAAAACGTATCTATATTATTGTACCTTGATCATTGTTGAGAATGTATGAACATGTATGCTTGATCATTACCTACCGCATTTACTCACGCTGCTAGCCTTAATACCAACCACTTAATTGACTGGATAATTCATTCATTTCACTATGTATATATGTCCATGTTAGACGAACTTTATACGAAGTTCAAGGATTATATTAAATATCGACCACCACAAGTTTGTGACTACTGATGATAATAATTTTCTGCAGCTGATGTCATGTCTCGGTAACTATAATGCAGATGATTCTGCGTTTGAATACGTTATATAAGTACATTTTCTGCCCTGCTTGTAAGTAGTATTTACATTATGAAGATAACCCGTGGCTTTTATTCTTAAATAATTTCTTCATAAGTACATTTCAGTTTCATGTTTCATTACTAATTACTTCTTATTGAGTGTCCATTATTTCATTTTTCCAGTCTGTCAAACTGAATTTACCACAGTATATCACTAAAAGTAATTTACTGTTCACTGATTTAAAAGTGAACCACGCACTGAAGAATAATGATATTCACGATAATAAAGACGAGTTGGTTTAGTTTTCAAACCATTTGTTAGTTGCAGCAAACGCACTAGTAATATAGCCATGTGAATCACCTTACTAACAATACATTCTATAAAACATAATATCTCTAATTGAATGTATTTTTTCAATGAAGAACTATTTATGAAGACCGCATAGCATTTAGAATTATATTTCATGAGTTTCTGTTGCCAGTACATAATCATCGCCAATTACACAGTATTTCCTTTTCCGAATATTAATGGTAAATTGTACTACCGTCAGATGTGAAGTAGACACAGTATGTTGCAGATCAGTTTTGTGTATTTAATTTTACTAGCAATATTCCGCCAATAAACAACCTTCTTGACTGTTGTTGCTACCTCGACATGGTGGTTGGGCTTGCCTATCGTGATGAAGCAACCGAGCTACATTTGCCAGAACAACCGTTCCTCAACGTCCTACCATGCCAGACAGGTCGATTGAAGAGCTGTAGGACTAAAAGCAACAAATCGAAGGTACGAGGGCGAAGCCGTACTGCTGACTGTACAGAGGTGTGACAGCAGCAAGGTGTTTCTTTCAGACAAACAACCTAACAGTGATGCTGCCTTCCCACAAGGAGGGGTGGGGTTAGAAAAGGTCGACCCCAGAAACACACACCTCCCACGAATATCCGTCTCCGGTGGTAAGGCCTCAACATGTACGAAGCTAACACAAAAACTACTCACTAAAAAGGTCTGTTGTGACCAACCTCAAACAGTTGTCCCTTGGCCACTGCAGTCACGCTCCCAGGTCACTAAGACTACCTCTAAACCAATTTCCTCTTCAGATACCTCCAGAACAACCCTTCCACGGTGTGGGCACCCGGGAAGATATAATCGCTCTCATACCTCTAGCAGCACTCAAGACCACTGTTTTCGAAATCAACCTCCCTCTTAAGTTCATATTATTCCTCTAAAATCGACGTTCAATGCTATACTTCCTCTTTTGGCTCCCTCCTCAAGTGTCAACAAAGCCAAAGATTCTAGTGTGCAAAACATCGTCCCACGTCTACTGAAACCTCGCGCAAAACTGCACATTGGAGCCTTCAAAGTACGCACACTATGTCAAATCGGTCAGCAGACCTACTTGGTTAAAACCCTAGAATCTCGTACCATTGATGTACGATGTGTCTCCGAAACACGCATTCAGGATCCTAGTGTGGTGATTCACGGAGAGCCGACGAGATACAATCTGCGTGTATTTGGCGGCCCGGTAATCAGATCTCGTTGACTGGCAGGTGTAGGCATGAACGCTGAATAAGCACTATAAGAGTGGATCTCCACTAACAGTCGCTCATGTGCTGTTCCGATAAATGGCTCCGTAAAAACTCGGAAGGATATGGACATCTAAAATACTAGCCCCGATAATTTCCCGACGGCTAACTAAAACTCGTGAGCTGCAAACACGATAGAATCAGGCTGGCTTCAGACCTGGTCGTGGATGTATCGACCACATATTCACAGGCTTACTTATCGGCGTCCGACAACGGTGGTCTTTCTTGACTTTAAAGCAGCATTTGACTCCGTAAACCGCAAGATTCTGTGGCAGTGTCTGTCATTGAAATGCGTACATCAGAAGTACATAAACCTTGTAAAGGCACTACTAGTCGAATAAGAGGTTATGACGAATTGTCGTCTGCTTTTGCAACCTCACGTGGTGTCCGTCAAGGCTGTCCACTCTTTCAATTTTTGTTTAACTTCATCATAGACCTACTGATGGAAATAACATTCTCGTCGACTGAATTCTTAGGTATTGATCTCCTTCCAGGAGATCCACTTATCGACTTAGAATACTCAGATGATATAATCCTGTTTGGTGATGAGGCTGATAAACGCAGTCTTCTGGTAGCAACAAGCAACAATGCCAGAATGTTTGGAATGCGCTTTTCTCCCTCTGAATTCAAGTCGTTGTTTCAGGACTGGTCTGCGTCAACACATGAATTAAGGATAGGGAGTGAAGTAGTCGAACGCATTGACAACTTCACGTCACCTATGGCAAAGGCGAGATATCCTTCTATCAATAAAAGGACGATTATACTGTGTGGAAGTTCATTCCGTTACGGAGCATGACTGTTAAGAGTTGAAGATACTCGTAAGCTACAAGTCTTTGACCACAGATGCCTTAGAATCATTTCTCGTATCTTCTGGAATCACCGGATAATTAATAGTGAGGTTAGACGCAGGGTATTAGGGAATGCTGGTAAATCAATTGACGAGGTTGTAGATCTCCATCGACTGAGATGGTTGGGCCATTGTTGCGTATGCCTGAACACCAATTACCACGACGTGCAATGCTAACAGGCGTTGGTGATGTTTGGAAGGTGGCCAGGGGCGGCCAAATCGAAACGTGGCATCAGTCAACAAAGTTTGGTCCGACCTATGTTGGTAGATCCAGCTATTTAGTTGGGGTCCGCGTCACTATCGTAACCAATGGTTGGAGACTGTGGGTGACATGGCTCAGAATCGATCGCAATGGCGTCCGTGTATACACTCTCTGTCTTTCCTTAAACTAAGGGAATAAAATCGTACCATATCTTTCTTCCTGTACTATGTCCTTATGCAATACTTATGCAGTATTTCTTTTATATATAACCACCGCTGAATTAACTACTCCTCTGAATCCGGTGTTCATCTTGTTGTGCTAATGCGGTATGACAACTTGGACCGATGCATATATGTGCCTGGTCCTACGCTGTAGCTGACTGACTGGCTGACTGAATAAACGATCTTATATAATTTTAGGCCCACAATTTACGTGAGTTTGTATTTCATATCTGAGTTACAGAATTTTTATCTTACACAGATATGAATGAGTGGAAATTGTTCATCACACTTGATAACAAGAAACGGTCATATTACATGGAACGATAACGTCATCGTCATTTGCCATAAAACACACAACAATTAATAATGTTCAATTTATGAACGCTTAATTAGATATAATTACTCCGACTGAAGACCCTCTGGGGCTACTATGGGTTCCGAAATC